CTCCCAGCTGAGCTGGTTGTGAGACTCCCTGGCCTCCCACTGACTTCGGCTGCACCGTGCTCCTCCTGTGCCAGCCACCACCAGTGGTCAGTTCTGCTTTCTCCATGGGTGCTACCAAAGAAAGGAAATAAAGGCTGATGGAATTCAGCACTTTCTGCTGGGAAATAGGAACTTCTTTTGGTAAGGCAGAACTGAAGTCATTGCCATTGGCCACACATTTGCCACACAGGGCTGTGGAGAAGCTGGTGTAGGAAAGGAAGGACATTGCCTTCCAGCCTGTGCTATAATGCTTAATAACGGGAATTGTCATTCAGTTCTTGACCAAAGTATGTTTTCACAACAAAATAAAGCAGCTTATCAGGCTACTACCCCCACCTTTGAACTCACAGCATATCCTTCCCCTTGGCAAAGCCGTTGTGTTCATTTGATGACACCAGGATTTTCTTGTGTCTTGCACCTGCGCTGCTCTTATCCAGCCCCACAGTTACACTCAGCTACTCCCCTACAAGCTGTCGGGCTGAGGGGAGCAGGAGGGGCCCCTAACACACTCTTCATCACCCAATCCAGCTGCACTATGCCGACCGCTCCATCCCATTAGCCATGGAGTGAGCAAATATGAAGCACGGGGATAAAGCCATCTCACTCGCCCTTCCTTCCCCTCCTCCCCGGGCAGAGGAGCAAAGCAGAATGCATATCCTATTTCATGGCTCTGGCATGTGGAAGCAAGACCATTATTCTACAGTAATCTTATTATTAAAGATCAGATGATGATGGCTGATGATGAGGTGCCGTTCCGAGGAGCCCCATCTGTGGGCTCATTGTCAGTACCTGGACAAGCTCACCCCTTCTCAGGCAGTCCTGCACCACCTGGCTGGCAGGTTTTGGGCAGGGGGTTTCCAGAGGGACAGCATGGGATCACGGCAGGGGGTTTCCAGAGGAACAGCATGGGGTCACGGCAGGAGGTGTCCAGAGGGACAGCATGGGGTCACAGCAGGGCCACAGACTCAACATTTGTCCACTAGCAACCGCAGCCTGGACTGGAAACCACAAAGGGCATGGTTGTGGAGTTAATCTAAATGCTAGAGCTGCTTTCTACTGTGCTACAGAAAGCAGACCCCCTCTCTACCTTCCTTTCATTTAAGAGCAAGACCTTTGCAGTTTTGATTTTTTTTCTCGCCTCCCTTTGCCTAGTTTTAAAAATCAAATCTCCTGTTCACAGCTAGCTTTCTCTCAGATGGGTGTTTTTCACATCAATGAGGATACCAAACAAAACTTCCGCCTCCCCAGTGGACACATTAGGCTTATGGATTTGAGCTTTTTAAAGCCAGTTTGAGGGCCTTTATAATGTCCCTTTAGCTTTATTGAGCTTTGCAAAGGCCACCTGGGAGGGAGCTCATCCCGCAATACAAAGTCAGTGGGTTGCTCACAGACAGCCCTGTCCTCCCAACAGATGTCTTTTCTAGAACTGCACTTGGAGATTTTGCTACCTATGAAGCAAGCTCAGGAGATGAAGGATCCACTCCTGTGCTCTCACCAACAGCACAGACCACCTAGAGTCCTCCTTGGCATTTAACTTCAAAGGCTGCACAGAGCCCTTATGAAGAGTACCTGGGAATTGTCGACTATCATCAGCTTCAAAGTACCAACACGAAGGGCTTGGGAAGGGGCATCCCAAATATGCATCCCCTCCAGCTGGGCTGTCATCACTTTCAGCAGCACAGGGAAGTTTTGTACAGCTGTAGGTGGTTCTGGGATCAGCATCTCAGCCGTAATCACTCCATGCTTAGCTACACCTTGCTGAACATTTTGTGTGGCTACACAGGATGTTGATTTTTGAGCTCTCTTTCACCAAAGCTCCCTCCTACTGCAGAAGCTAAGCAAAGCAGTCTCTCAGGTTCTCTGAAACGAGAGTAGGGGTGTAGTTAACCCAACCTCAAGTGCCATACAGAAAAAGGGGATTTGTCCTCTTATCAGTGACGTGCCCAGAGATGATGGACCTGCTCTGCTGTGCTCTTGTGGGTTGTGTGTTTTGCCCCGAGTTTCATTTCAAATTGAAAACATAAATATGTTGCCTATGTAAACAGAAAAAAATATATACATAGACAGGGTGAGTTGTGTACACATGTGATAAATGTAATAACCTTCTGAAAGCCACGCCTGGTGATGTGTCAAGGATAATACCTTGGTCAGCAGAACTTTTTGTGTGGCTGCATGGGATGTTAATTTTTGAGCACAATATACCAAATGGTAGGTATTGCCTCCTTCATAAGCATCAGGAAAAGCTGACCAGCAGCCTTACACACCGTGGAGGAGTCTCCAATGGGAGGGGTGAGGAAGTACCTAATTTTAGTGTAAACAGAGTCATGCCTTGTGAACTGCATGGGAACGAAGTCTCTGTCTCTGCTGGAGCTGCAGCCATGCCTTGTGTGCCAGGACAACCCCGTGGAGATGTGTTCCTGTCAAGTGTGGACACCAAGCCGGTGGAAGGCTTTGGAGAGTCTTATCACTCTTGAGGCACTCACAGCACTGAAATATGAGTGTGTTACAAAGAAGAAATGAAAAAAAAATCCAAATCTGTGTCAGGAGATGATTTTGTATGGCTCCCATTGTGTCTGAACTTACCAAGCAAAGCCTTCATTTCCCATCTGATCCAAAAATCACTGAAGCCAAGAGCAGCCTGTTCACTGCTTTGGGAGGCTTTGGAGCAGGCCCTTTCTGAAACACAGAGGGAAAACATTTTGGAAAAGAAAAGAAATACATTATGTTAATTGTTCAAAACATTTTCAGCATCCCTCAGAAATGGACATGTTTATCTGTAAGCTGACAAAGAGCATTTAGGTAAGTTAAAATTTAAAAGATATTTCATTACAAATTCAATAATTTGTGCAAGACAGAGCAGTTCTGTCTTTTATTTTCCCTCAAACATTTTGTGCTGCATAGAACACCTTTGTACTCATTATTTCTGCAAAATCAACTGCCAGGTCAACTTCTAGCAGAAATCACAGGTGAGAAATTCAGGAGGGAAAGGTGAAGCTGGAAGAAAGTCAAGGGCCTTTCCCCATTAAAGAGTTGAGTTTTAAGTTTTGATGCACTAGAGCACTCAGATAAAGACACAAATTAAAGACAACTAGCACAAAAGGGTTTAGACCCTGAAATGAGGCAGAGATAAAGATGTTGTACCAGCTGAGCACAACATCTTGGGCCATGCCTTGGGTGTTGGCTGAAGGATGGGGCTGTGCACACTCGCAGTAGCAGATTGTGGCTGTTGCGGACTGGCTGGCACAGCCGAACTCTGCCAGCCCTGGCTGCATGTTGACATGAAAACAAGGAAACAAGGGAGGTCAATGTGCTCGTTTCAGCTGGCCTGCTTTCATCTGCGGGTCAGCCTGTCCTT